TTAATTTATTAGTAATTAAATTCATGGAACTTATTCAAAATCGAGCGTGTTGAAATTCTATAGAATCTACAAAATTCAAATAGAAACCACGGTTTAGGCCATCTCCAGTCCTTATCTCTACTCTAGCGCGGACTTTACTCTACTCTAGAGTAGAGTTGAACATTCAGAGTCTCTCCAGCCCTGCTCCAGATCCTTATCTAGAGTTGTGTGGGATTTTATCTCCAGCGCATCTCTACATTCTTGCGCCAGATCAAATATATGAATAGTGCATAGCCAGATGTGGCGATGCACTGTTGCTGCTGCGCTATATTTTAACTGGTTTTCATATTGGAACACAAAGTGCAAGCTTTTTTATTGTTATTTTTTTAGATTTTTATATATTTAATATATTTTTATTAAAATATTTTAATTTACTATATATAAATTAATAATTTTATAATATTTTGTATTAATAATTTTATTTTTAATTTTTTAATATTATAATGGTATCATATGAATAAAAATTAACATTTTTTATAAAATTAGATATACATACATATACCAATTCATTTAAAAAAATATATTTTTATTATTTGGGTAATAAACATTTATATATGATTATACATACATATATATAAGGTATACCAATTTATTTGAAATAAAAAATAATATATTTGATGTAGAATAAAATGTAGAGATAAGGTTGGAGATGAATGTTTAACTCTATTCTATAGTAGAGATAAGGGCTGGAGATGGCCTCATCTCCAGTCCTTATCTCTACATTTTACTCTACATCAAATATATTATTTTTATTTATTTTTTTATTTCAAATAAATTGGTATATATATATATATATGTATATTGAATCTTATATAAAATGTTAATTACTCAAATAATAAAAATATATTTTATTTATTTTTATTTCAAATGAATTGATATATATATGTATATTTAATTTTATAAAAATATTTATTACTCAAATAATAAAAATATATTTTATTTGTTTTTATTTAAATAAATTATTATATATATGAATTTGCAATCTTATATAAATGTTTATTATCCAATTAATAAAAAAAATTATGTATAACAACACCAGACTGCTTCATAAGTTCAAACAATAGGATACAAATTATATAATACAATGAAAAAAATAAAAACAATTAGAAACAACGATTACAATAAACTTTTAATTTTAATTAAATAAACTTGTTTGAATGTGTTAAATTCTTATTCATATGGTATCATTTTAATATTAAAAAATTGCAGTATAAAATTATAAATACATCAATAAATAAAAAACACAAAATTATTTAGCATAAAAAATACGTTGCACAAATTATTTAGCATAAAAAATACATTTACTAATACACGTTATACAAAAATTTTACCAATAATAATACACACAACCAATAATAATACACACACAAAAAAATAAAATAAAAAAAAATTGTAGAGTTGAGCTACAGTGTTGCGCCACATATGGCGCAACACTAATCCCAACTCCTTTCTGGCGCAGAAGTCTAGCGCAACAGTGGAGCAGATTTTCACACAACTCCAGCACAAGAAGCCAAATCTGTCGCTGCGCTGCAGACGCTCTTAGTAGATTACATCGAATTCTAAATTTTGGCTGCATAGATTTGTATAGATTTCACTTTATTAAAAGTCGGGCTAGATACCTGCCTAGGCAACACCCGAGCGAAGTTGATCGCACCTAAGCTGATTAGGCAGTCTAGGAACCGACCTAGGCAGTCCACGCGCCACCTAGGCACCCATAGAATTTTTCTTAAATTTTGTTTTAATTTTTTTAGATGTAATAAAAATAATTTTTTATTTTATACATGAAATGTATAATAATTATAAAATACAAATAATAATCATGTAGAATTAATGTAATAACTATAAGTATATAATATTTTTCAAAATCATTGTACTTAACCATAATAATTGGTATAGTTTATAAAATATAATTGTCCGTTATGTATGATTTTAAATATAAAAAATTTACTAGACCCCAGCCTGCCACCTTTCAGAACCTTGATAAATTTTCGAATCTCCACTAAAATCGATATAGAAGTAACCTCATCTATACTTATATAATAAGAATTAACATTTATCCAAAATAGTAGGTCAAATTATGGTCAATGTCGGATTTGCATTAAGTATTTTTTAAAATTGGTAAGTTTTTTTGTCCTCTTCACACTTCTAATTAATTATGTCCTTTTCACACTTTTCATTAATTATGTCCTTTTCACACTTCTCATTATTTATGTCATTTTCACATTTCTCATTATTTATGTCCTTTTCACACTTCTCATTAATTATGTCATTTTCACACATCTAATTAATTCATTAATTACGACATAATTATCATAAATCATTCCATCTGAGCTTTTATCGTTAAAATGTATAGCGATCTGTTATGACCTTATCCCATTGATATTTCCATGAAGCGTCCTTATCGCGTTCTATTTTTTGGTAACCACTCTATATCAATAACCGGATATTTGGTTAATGATAGCACACGTCTTTATTTGAAGGAGCGGATATTCTTTGACCTTTAATTAATCTGAACTGATTGCCTTGACTTTTCAATTTTTAAAAACTCTTTTTTTAAATATTTCGGCTTAAGATTCAGATTTCATTATACAAGTCATCGGATTGTTTGAATGAAAATGAATGAAAAGAACACCAAAAACATGTAGCCTTATTCATATAACCAATCCTAAAATATTAGTTTGTTCACCAAAAAGAGACAAATCCTAGAAATCCTAAAACATTAGTTTGTTCACCAATCCTAAAATATTATTTTGTTCACCAAAAATATTAGTTTGATTTTTAGGATTTTCTCTTTTGAAAATATTAGTTTGTGATATGAGGAGTTACCAAATAATCAAACTCATAATGTTGTGTACAAGGAGGTTTTTAAATAATATATGATTATTACCGAACTTTTTATGATTCAACAATGTTCCTATGTATTTTAATGATTTCAATTTCGATCCTAATGCACGTGAGGTTATATTATTCTTCCAAATTTTACATCTCGTGCATCGCACGGGTTACGTACTAGTAAGTTATAATCTACAAATAAGCGAACAGTATCCAAAAATGAAAATTTGGGGAATGTCAAAGACTACATCTTGCAAAGGTATGACTGTCCACGGTTTTGCTATGAAGTCAACAGTTGACTTCATAGTGGAACCAACCTTCTATATATACAACAAATAAACCTACCATATTCTCTTATTACTTAAACAACATTAATATAACTTTATTAATATGATAGATTTATTTGTTGTATATAGAAAATTGGCTCCACTATGAAGCCAACTGTTGGCTTCATAGCAAAACCGGTCCACCGTGACTGTCCAACTAATCAAATCAACATAATGTCATTACTCACATCAGAGAGCAACTCCAGTATTTCAGACAAACAATTTCATTCTTGATCCTACTATAAAAAGTCTCACTCAGTTAGCAAGTGATTGAGCTTTATTAAATTTAATACACAGATAACACAGTTTACGATAAACATACTTCGATTGTCACTTGACAATCAATCGATCAGGGGCAAGAACGTCATATCAATCCCGTCATCGAATCTGGTCCGCTCATCATTCCCTTCAAACTCCCACTTCATCTTCAAAACTTCGATCCTATAATTTTTTAATCAGCAATGATATAATAAATCTTTAATAACGACGTGCTGGGGCCCACCAATGATTCTCTAACCAAGAAAACACGGGCCGAGAGATTCCAAGTCGTAGCAGGGGCATTTTCGTCATTGCCTGAAAATTAGTACCAATGGTTCCCGGGCCCACTCTGGGCTGCGGCAACTTTTCTTGCCATGTAAAGATCGGGCTTGGGCTGAAGCCCATTTGGGCCTTCATGCATGCCTTCATTGCCATCTATCTTGCATTCTGTATGCTTTCTTGGGTAGGAAGAGCTGGGAACAATGTATTGAGATGGAATATTAGGGTTTCTCAGCGTTTTTCGCTCTTCGGTTGTTGTCTTGTCCGGTGGTGGCCCACTATTGTTGTAGCGTAACATTGGGCCGATGATTTTTCCGGGCCTTGCGGAACCTCTAGCTGAGATGAAGAATCATTTATTTTTTCAGTAAAAATACCAAAATATCCCTGATGAGGAAAAAAAAGGCAAATTTGTCCTTGACCTTTTTCGAAATTTCAATTTAATCACGACTTTTTCACTTTTGCAAATTATATCACAATCTTCAGTTTGTTGCAAATTGGTGCACCGATTTGCATATCCCGTGCAAACTATATCACAATCTTCAGTTTGTTGTTCGACCACATCAGCTTTTCTATGACAGTTTTCAGACTGTTTGCAACAAACTAAAGATTGTGATATAATTTGCAAAAGTGAAAACGTCAGGACTAAATTGCAGCCTCGATAAAGGTCGT